AGAAATGAGTTAGGCAGGCAAACGATAAGAACTGATGGAAACCCAGGCCCACAGTCGGCTGCAAGGAAGTGTTCCTCCGAGTCACTGCTTCTTCTCTGGTGCCCTGAGAACCAGATGAGCTGGGTGGACGAGCTACAGGGCAGGAACTGATAACCGGTCCCACTCCACCAGGAGGCCAGAGCGGGGATGCTAAAGGAAATAGGAAAATCTGAGTTTGATTACAGTGGGACACCACTGGCAATACATTTACCACCTAAGTGACAAAATATTCTTTCTATGTTGGTAAGCCTCTCTGTTCACTACTTACATTTAATTCAATACAAGTTACATCCTTTTTTTGTCTTTCTAAATTAAATTTATAAGAATATACATATATATATTTAGCTCTGGGAGATAAGATTGTGGGTGATTTTCACTCTGAATTTCATGTACAGTACATAGCTGTATTGTTGTTTTGTTTGTTTTTTATATTGAGCATATATTACTTCAATCAGGGAAAAAAGCTATTTCTATCTGTGTAGAGTTGGGGTGGGGGGCTCACCATTAGGATGAGTAAGATGGCTATTTCTTTCTTTCTTTTTAAAATATTCTGTGGTGGAACAAAGTAATTGCAGGAAGATGGGCAGTTTCCTTGAGTGGGCATAAGAGTTTACACCCCAGTCCATTCCCAAACTTTTATTAGAACTTCGTATGCCCAGGAGCTATGAAGGAATCATGTGAGGACCGTCCTCTCAGAACTCATGTCTAGGTCATAGATAAAACCACAACAGTTCCTATTTTGAGAAAGTCACAGTAAGAAGAGTGGCTTTGTCATAGCTCTTCACAAGGACTAGCAGGAAGGACTTTTTAAAAATTTAATTTAATTTAAATTTTTTTACTATGTTCAATTAACCAACATATAGTACATCATTAATTTTTCATGTAATGTTCAATGATTCATTAGTTGTGTATAATACCCAGTGCTCATCACCACACATGCCCCAGGAGGGACTTTTTGCCCTTCTATTTCAGTCTTCCATCTTAGTGGCTTCCTGATTGCAGCTGATGGGTCTGCCAGTCCCTATTGCCTTCTATTTCAAAAAACCAGATAACAAAGAGCCTTTAATTGGTCAAATTATCAGAGATGTACATTATTAGTTCAAGTGCATCCATGGGATTTTCTTTTCAAATGTCACTGGGATTAAAATAACAGGAAACCGGAGATGGAAGCATTAGAAAAGGGTAGGCTTCGGCAGCTGCGTGTGCCTACACAGCTACAGAGGACATCCTGGATGTAATGGTTATTTAAGAAGATGGGGGGAGGGGGAAGACAGAAACACCAGGACTAAACAAACACTACAAAGAGATGGCCGTGTCCAGTGTTTGCCACTACATTCTCTCTGTCTCTAGAAAAGTGGCAACTGCTGGGTTCCAAGTAGATGAAATATTCTAATTTGCACCTTAATGTAATGCATCTACAATGGGTAAAATAACACCTCCGTGTGCACACCTTGGAGACCACTTACAATCAAAATGATCTGCTTAATAGGGATAATTATACTAATTTTCAGATAAATATGGTGTATTTAATTAAGAATTCTTGTAGTTTATGCAAAAATACTCTTGCAGTTTTGGAAAGCCTCCTCTGCCTCATAGGATCTTGAAGAATCTAATTTTCCTGCCGTGTGGTATAGCTCTTGAAGGAAAACATGATCATAGGGCACAAGTCTTTAGAAATGCCTCCTAGGACTTCTACTAAAGCCATTTGTAGTAAATATTTCAATAACCATTTTCACGAAGCTGTCAGTCCATTCAGTGAACACAGAAAAGTTACGGCAAGCCCTTTTTGCTAGAAGGCTCCCCAGTATCCTCCACAAGTCTCTCTGATACTTCAACAGAAGAACAGTTAGTTGGGGAATTCTTTCCAGTTAAGGGAAAAAAAGTCTTCTGGGGGCTGAAACACAGAATTACAAAGACCATAAGGCCAAAGTTTTCATTTTTATTAGCTATTTGGTTCAAACCTTTTTTTTTTTTTAAACAAATCTTGATCTATAGACCCGACTATCTTAAGTTGTAAAATAGGCTATGAAACAACTGTTTTATTCTCCTGGTTTATGTAGATTGAAGCCAAACACATGGCAAACTATACTATTACAGAGGAATTTGGATGGATGATTTCCTCCTCTGTGTACAGTTTTCAATCCCTTCACCCTTGGCCCTATGGTAGACACCAGCTGCCGAGGGTGCTAGGTCAGTTCCCTCTAGGGGCACATGCAGCGTCATCCCTATGCCTTGATGGCCACTTATAATCACCAGTAGTTTCTATGACGTGTCTTACAGGAAAAGGTGAGCATAAAAAGAGAGCTTGATTAGCTCTTTCCTAGGGAGCTCAGATGTGCAGGAAGAGTATTTGATTCCCGCTGAAGATGCAGAAGCCCAGTGAAGTACATGAAAAGTGACAGGTGCCCCGACCTACCATACAGAATCCAGAGCCGTCCAAGCACTCATCAGAGTTACCGTTGCAGCCACAAGGCATACATTCTCCGGACTGGGCGAGAAAGAATCCAGCACCACATTTCTGAAACAGACACAACAAAAATATTGTCTTTATTGAAAAGACCTCTTTTGGTCAATTTTTTCTGACAAGATTAAGAGAAGATGCTTATTAAACAATCTAAGTATTTCTTTACAAAATGTACTAGAATGAACCATTTATACTGCGATTCAGTGATGTATATTAATTTTTTTGGTTATATTCCCCTCCTTTTTATTTTTTTAACTTTTCAGGGGAATAGGAACATCTTTAACACTGTCCTAATATTATAAGGAAGAATAAGAAGATTTTCAGGAACAGCGAAGGAGAAAGGAATTTTCTAATGTTTTCTAACCAAACCAAACCAAACCAAACCAAACCAAACCAAACCAAACCAAACCAAACCACGACAATTGGTGAGGGTGAGGAATTGCTTCATGCCCCCTATAAATAAAGACTTACGGTTTCAGAAATTACTGGCTATAGCATAACCTCTCAGAGATGGATCTTTCATGCTTGGGCTCTTAAAAAATGGTTTCTCTTCAGATCCTAACATTTGAAAGGGAGGGGCCGATAAGTTAATGAGTTCTTGTACTTGTCAGGTCCTGTGTGGGTGCTGTTCCTATATTTCACTTATTCTCATAGCTCTGAGGAACACATTATTTTCCCTCATTCTCGTGATGAAATCATTAGACCCAGAGGTGCTAAGTGGGTTGTGGTGATGTTAAACCATCTTGAGATGCACCTGTCAACCTGCACAATGATGAATTGCCCCCTGCCAATGTCCTTTGTGCTCCAGTTGAGAAACTTTGCAAGATTGTTCCTGGTTTATGTGATTGGAGTTGTGAATATGTATTTTATGTTTCTTCAGAATGTCTTAATGATGCAAGGCGGCAATGGCATTAGAGACCTGGAAGTCCACTCCCTGCCCGTCAGACAGATTCACTTCTAAAGAATTCCAGACAGATAAGGATCTGGGTTGTTTCCACAAACTTACAGAGTAGATTTCACATCACCCCCTCCCCCCATTTCATTGACTCATTGTACTTTGTACTATCTTGATGACCAGGAAATTTTTCATTCTATCTGGCTGAAGTCCCTCTGACGGCTATGCAAACCCATTTCCTCTTGCTTTTTTCTCTGTAAAGAAAGAACCACTGGACACTATTCACAGTATAAAAACACCACCAGTTTGGACCCGAAAACTAAAATCTAATATATTCAATTGGGAGGAAGTTGAACAGAGAATAATGGCATTTGTCCATAAAGACAAGGCAAAGAAATTCCATCTTTCTAAGTGAGAGAAAGTAAGGCAGAGAGGGGACCGATTTCTAATTTATATTGGAGAGTTTGTGGTTGATAGGAAACCTTTTTCTCAATTTCCATTAGGGACCAATAGAGAGGGGAAATTGCTAAAACTGCAGCAAGAAGCATTTAATTTAGACCACCTAAGTTCATGTGTTTTTGAATTTTGTTTCAAAATATAAAAAATACTTGTTTGGGGCACACCCGGCTGGCTCAGTCAGTGGAGCATGCGACTCTTGATCTCTGGGTTGTAAGTTCAAGCCCCACATTGGGTGTAGAGGTTACTTAAAAATAAAATCTTAAAAAAATACATGTTTTAACTCTGATGCAGTACACAGATATACATATAATTATGTAAATATATAAGGATATACATATATATCAGAAAAAGATTCACAAAGCAATAATTAACCTATGTGTCATGTACCTTAAACTTCTCTATTTTATTTAAAAATATATCCTTGTTATAAGACATAAGATTGATGCCACATGAGTGTGTTGCATCCTGCAGTTTGACATGAAGAGGGTTTTAATTATCAGAGGAATGGATAAGAATAGCAAGGGGCCTAGTATTAGTTATCTCAGTAGCTTCCAAAACAGTGGTTTCTGTGATCTCTAACTGACCAATGCATGGACATGTGGGGAACCTCTCATTCAGGAGTTCTGACAGAGGAACCAAAAAAATCTGTGTTTTTTATAAAATAAATATTATATTTAAAAGTTACTTATTTAAATTAATGAATCCTTTTACCCCACCCCCCCGCTTTATTGAAATAATAATTGACATTTAACACTGCATACGTTTAAGGTGTACAACGTGTGATTTGATATGTGTATATATTGCAAAATGATTACCAGCATAGCTTTAGCTAATACCTCCGTCATGTCACATAATTACCATTTCTTTTTTGTGATGAGGACATTTAAGATGTACTCTCTCTGCAACTTTCAAGTATATAATACAGTATTATTAACTATAATCATTGGGCCATGCATTGGATGTTCAGAACTTGTTAATCATTAATCTTGTAACTGGAAGTTTGTACCCTTTGATAACCTCTCCCCATTTCCCCTGCTCCCCAGCCCCTGCGACCACCATTCTGGTCTGTTTCTGTGAGTCCCAATGAGTGGGGCAAAGACTGGAGGTGTCAGGAGGGGAAAAGCATGCTGGTGGTGGCAGGGAGTCTGGTAGTGATGCCTGGAAACAGAACGTGAGAAGATCTACTTGTATCATCAACTATAGTAAGGACCTGCCTCTGGCCCAACGTATCAAGTTTCAGTAAGGGTGCTCTAAACTGATATTAGTTCAAGTCTTTTGGGCATTTTTGCTGCTCTTTCATCTAAAGAAGACAAAGAAAATTAAGATTTGCCCTGAAAAATGCATCATTTTGAATATGACAGCAGTTAATCCCTTATGTCCTTGAGGGCTTAGCTAAATCAAGAGATTCATATTCAAAGAACAAAAATAAAATCACACAACACAGAAAAAAATCCCAAATAACCATAGCAAAAAATTTTTTTTTGATAAATTCTGAATTTTAAAATAGCTTTAGATGTACAGAAAAATTACAAGGATCTGTTTTTGTTTTTTATTTATTTTTTTAAAAGTCCCCTGAAGATTTCAATGTGTGATTAAGAATTGCCCTAAAGCATCTCACAGTGCCGTGTTCATATTAATTGCTCCACAAATGCTTGTGATTTCAACAGTTTGGACTAGGATAGGAAATCTGAAGCCTATGTGCTGTTGGAAACCAATGGTTTATGCTGCTAATATACCTACTGCTCCCTGCTAGGGCTGGATTTGGTCTCCAATCTTTTTCAACACAGGCCAGGCAGCCACTGCCTAGACTGGACTGTGCTCAATGAAATCTTTATGTTATGCCAAGTTTAGGAGGTGACTTCACCCAGAGAGTCTGTCATTATCCACTTACCCATTCCCCAGGCTAAGGCTCTGACCTTGTGTGAAATGGATTTGGCTCGTCTCTTAAACTGTGGGAGATGGGAAGAAAAAGGGAGCCAGGGACAGGGTCACGTGGAGCACTCTGTGGAGAGGATGAGGTGGGGCGGAAACCTGGCCAACTTCTTTCCTTTTGGGCGTTGTACACCTGAAAGATTATATTTTCTAATTCATCTGTCCAGAGGGGAGCCGCCATTTTTAAATTTGTGTAAAGGCACCATTCAGGTTAATGGAAGCCTTGGGCATGGGTGCTTCTGATACGACTACTACATGCACTGGATATCTTGGACCCTTTGTGTTGCAGGACCTTAGAGGATTTCTCAGAATGGCAAATAATTAAGTGGTTCAAGAGAAGTTTGAGTATCCTCAAGGAAGAGCTATATCATGTTGTTCCTCTTACGTAGAAATGTTTTGTCATGGCTCCAGAACGTTTTGTTAATTTTCCCTAAATCTCTTCTTGAAATTCTATAGGAACTGGCCAAACTGACCTTTGTTATAATATTAAAAGGCAGATAATTTCAGGAATGAAAGCAGAGTTACTTTTAGTTTTGTTCCTGGTTAGCAATCTCTTGGCTTAGTGATTCTAAGACCTGTGTTATTTAGAGACTTTGAAAGCTGAGTGGTCTTCCCACAGAGAAAATTAATGTCCGCCTGGTTTCTTTTGGAATATTCTCCACAATTTATTAAACGAAGATGGTGTTTATGTTTATATATGTGTGTGTGTGAGCAAGAGAGGTGTTATAATCAATTTTTAGATGACATTGAACACTTTTGCCCATGTGAGAAGACCTGACCTATAGCATACAACTGTATAAACACATGGGTAGCTGAACATGGGAGAGCATTCAGAGGGTTTATACTGCCTGGGATGGTGCCTAGGCCTTATAATAATAATAATAATAATAATAATAATACAGGGCCTATGTACCAAGCGTTGTAAGTGCTTCATCCACATTATGGTTTTTGCTCTTTGTAACAACTCTGTGCATTAGGTATAAGTATCTGCATTTTGGAAATGAACAAACTGCTGGTCAGAGAAGATGAAAAATGTATCCAGTGTCACACAGCTTTATAAGGAGTTCAGACAGATCTAAATTTTGTTCTTTCTCTAGTATAACATGCTATTTCTCATAAAAACAAAAAAGAGGAAGGAAGGAAGAAGAAAGGAAGGAAGGAAGAAAAGAAAGAAAGGAAGGATACAAATTTATTTAATTGACCCTTTAATTAATTGAACATAAATATTTACCCTGTTTAAGTCATTGCATTGGTCATGTTGTATACCTCTCTCATTTTTGCCCACAATAGCCCTATGAAGGTAATAGCTGTCACCTACAATTTATAGATGAGTCTTTGTAGCTTATAGGGTTTGTTATGCAGACCAAGTAACACAGATGAGAAATGGTGGACCTAGGATTTAGATTCTTTGTTTGACTCCTGGGTTTGAGCTCTTAACCATCTGGTGTACTGTTAATATATATTAACCCAATCCCTTTTGTTGGACATTTAGGTTATTTCTAAATTTTTGCTGCTACAAACAGTCCAAAGCAGGCTGAAATGGATAAAAATGTAAAATCTTTCCTTTAAACTCCAGAAAAAAAGTCTTAAAAAATGGATACATGCTTAAAATATATAAAGTTATTAATATATGAAAATCATTGAATGGGACTATCTACTCTTTAAACAATTTATTTCGGCCCAGTTATCATTTTGACTAATTACTTTCCACTAAATCATCTGTAGACTTTTTACAGCTCTCCTCATTAGCTACTATATTATTACAGCTTGTCTCTTGCTTGAACACTGATTGGATTAATCAATAACATTTACTTCTGCCTTCAAAGACTAAAAGTGGAGATTGTCATTTGCTTACTTTGTTATCATCAGTATGGTGTCTGGCTCTGAGTAAAAATCAGTGTGTGTACTTGGCTAATTTTACATTTATAGAAATTAAAATTAGATGGAACTTTAGGAAGAAATTGGTACGGTATACCCATATGCCACTTATATTTAAAGGAACTGGGAGTGACAGCATATGTCGATATTATTGCAGAAGGCATTATTTCCAGGGGTCATATAATCACAATATTAATTATTATACTAATTATTTCATAAGATAACAAAGTGAGACTGTTTCTTAACAAAGAGGATAGCATTTATACAGCTGTTTGATAGTTTTTGTCCTCATATGAAGAAGTCCTTTGAGAACAGTGGCTGAAACTAATAATATTGTCATCATCATACAGAACATTTTTTGAATTTTCTTAAGATTCTGAAGTCACGCTTTTTTGAGGTATAGTCCAGTCTGCATCCCTTGAGTGTGGTAAACTCAAGCTAAGTAATACCATTTTAGGTTAAAAATGTTCACAAAAATCTCACTGGGTTTTCCAAATATTGTCACAGAGGAGCTAATTAATTGGCCCAAAGTCACTACTGTTGCATAGATATTGAATCTCTAGAACCTTCAGAATTTCTGTTGAAAAGCCTGATAGACTAAATAATTTAAATGCTCAAATAGCATTCTCTAGGAATCTGAGGTCCCCAACCACCCATTAAAACAAACAACGGTAAAAATGGATCAAATTTAGGAGGAGTCTGAAGTTGTCATGTGAGACGCATCCTGAGATCTCTCTCGGAGAGAATCAGACCCTAATCTCCAGCTCCAACAAATGACCATGAATTAATTATAATAAAATTCCATTACAAAGAGCATACTCTACAGCCCTGTGCCTATTCCAATAACATCTAACCTATAATATAGTAGTCCCCCCCCTTATCTGTGGATGATACATTCCAAGACTTCCAGTGGATGCCTGAAATTGCAGATAGTACTGAATCCTATACGTATGTTTCCTATACATACATACCCATGATAAAGTTTAATTTATAAATTAAGCACAGTAAGAGATTAACCACAATAATAATAAAATAGAACAATTATAACAACATACTGTAATAAAAGTTATGTGAATGTGATCTCTCTCTCTCAAAATATTTTATTGTACTGCATTCACCTGTTTTCTTTTGGATGATGTGAGATGAAAAAAAATGCCTGCTTGATGAGATGCAGTGAGGTGAATGATGTAGGCATTGGGACATAGGCATTGGGACCTGACAATACATCAGAAGGAGGATCATCTGCTTCTGGATGGAGGTTGACTTCAAGTAGCTGAAACCACGGAAAGCAAAATACTGCACAAGGACGGGGGGATCACTGTAGAAATTTGCTTTGTGTCTTCAACCAAGGATTTGCAAACATTTTACAAATATCGACTCATCTTGCTTTCTGAATTAGACTTCTAGAATTTTGATTCATCAACTTTTGCTTTAATTTACTGAGGCTCAATGTAGAAAGTATAAAAAAAAAAACCCAAACCAAAATCTCTCTGAATTCATTCACTTGTGTCCAAAGTCATTGCTACCTCCCAAATTAGTATTCTTCACATTTAACAGCCCACATCCAATTCTCTTTCTGCTTAGGTTTTTGTATGTATATAATCAATCTACTTTTCTCCTTGTTTCCAGGCAACAATGATTTTAGCTCTAGTTTTAGTTTTAGAGAATTTCATTTTTTAAAGTGAATAATAAAAGTCACCTTAAGATTGAATATTATGCTCACTTAAAAGCTAAACCTTTGTGCCTTTACACTGAGTCTGTGGGTCTTGCACAATGCTGACTTCCATCTGCTTAAAACTTGGGCAGACCTAAGAATCAGTATTCAGAGGCTTTTAATAGGGACCAACGGTTCAATTTAATGTATTTAAAAATATCAATGCAGCCTTTGATGGGGAGGAGTGACTTATGAGAACATATGAATTTATGACATGGGTAGACATCTCACAGGCTATTTTTTTCTGTGTCTATAAAAATAAAAGATAAAGTATCTGGGGTGGAAAGCAGTCCTGAATTAGGCTATTGGTAACATTTGACTCTATTTTTTCAGGGAGGGCTTAACACATCCTGTTTGTTCATATACGAAGCTACGTCAAAGTGCCAAAATAAGTTAAAGGCACTATGCAATGTGTAACAGTTAGCAAGAAGTTGACTGCTTGATTGATTTTACTTGAATGTGGACAGAATTACCCCATGGATCCACCCTTGGGTCTCTTTAAGCTCTTGTTTGCATAACTGAAATTCCCTACATTTCAATAGGTGAAGTTAATTTTTAGATTTTGACAGTGATTTCACCATAGCTTGATTAGGAAAGTAGTTTCAAAATTCTTCAGAGGTTTACCCAGTTGAAGGTATTTCTTCTTATAGTTGGCATAAGAAAGCTAGGGCATCACTAAACACAAACTGGGGTGCTAGTTTCTCCTAGTTGGCTCTTGGAGCTATGGTTGTGCTTATTGCTTAGGACCCGTGTCTGCCATGCCTTGGCCAGCATGCCAAACACTCCAGCTCTCAATATAATCACCAGTGAAACAGAGACAAGGATTTAGGTTCCGAGGAATTCTGAGAAGCACAGAGCTGTCTTGACCAGAGTTAAGGCAGGTCCTTTAATTCTGTAAAGTGGAGATGTATTTATCACGCTATTTATGTTGCATCAGCGTGGCTATTCCTCAGCACTTTTTATGGGCTTCTTGAGTATTCCCCTGGGCAGGGAAATCAGTGCTCCAACCCAAAGATCTCAAATAACTATTCACACACCCTGTACTCCATCAAATGTTATTCGGACTGGACATACTAACAGACTCGGGCTGTAATGAAGTACTTCTCACCCTTGGCTCTCTTTAGTTGTGTAACTAAAAGGATCAAACGAGAAAGTTTAGAGCCCTAAAGCCATAAAGATTTTCTTTTTGAAGTGTTGGATTTGGGCATGATTATGTTCATTAATACTGATGAAAATTTCTTTAATTGTCTCCTTGAAAAGTTACTTTAAATACTTTGTAAGTTGCTCATTTGTAGTAGCGAGTGCGCTTATATAACATAATGGGGCATTAGCGGTGCCTTTTTGCCTTTGATTTTCTTGAACAAATCTGCTAACATCTGGCTTTTCTGCTCTGGGTCCTCGTCACATCATCTCATGTAACTTGTTCTTTTCACTCCCCACCTTCCAAGCCACGGTTACACAACATAGCCTTGGCCAGATTTTTTTTTTTTTTTTTTTAATATCTCAGAACTGACTCAGTTTAATTTACTGGGGCAAATGCCATGGACACATTTCCAAGAAAGGAAGAGATGTGGTGTAGAAGGGCTAGAAGAACAAGCAGAGAGGAATGACTTCAGAGTTATAGGCATTTGGGGGATTTTTACATGACTCCTTCACCACTTGGCAGGAATCAGTGTTGTGAGATGACAGACATTTCTGTCATCTTCCACTGGGTTTTTATGAATAATAACAGCTAATATTTATTGACGGACACCAGGCACGGAGTTAAGTGCTTTTTATAGGCATTCCAATTTGGTCATCACCCTTTAATGGCCCCACGGTCTTGCAAATGTCTGACTAAATTGCCTTTTCTTTTCACAAGGATTCGGGAGGCTTAATTGTCTATAAACTTACAGTGGCTTCCTTTCAGTGAGCCCAGGGAAGGTGGTAGTGCTTCCTTGGGCAGGATGACTGGTCGGGATGTTCCATCAGTTTCCTTTGCTAATAAATGTGCCTTTTCTGTCGTGAAGTCCTCCCAGTTCTTCAGTGCTACCCTTACCCTGGATGGCTCAAGACGAAAAGCACAAAGGGATTGGCAGTCCTGTTTTTCTCTCCCTATGCTCTTCCTCATGGGTTTATGCATCACTGCAGAAATGCTACTGTGAATTAGTAGGAAAGGAGAAATACATCCCCAAACCTCTACTGTACCCATTTATTCTCAGTAGATAATCTTGTCTCCTCTTTTAATGAGAAAATGGAGGTCATTGGGTGGAAAAATCTCATACTATTGTTCTTCTCCTCAAAATTCATCTTAATCTTTTTTTTTAAGATTTTATTTATTTATTTGAAAGAGAGAGCACATGGTGGGGAGAGGCAGAGGGAGAAGCAGACTCCCTGCTGAGCAGGGAGCTTGATGCAGGGCTCATTCTAGGACCCTGGGATCATGACCTGAGCCGAAGGCAGATGCTTAACCAACTGAGCCACCCAGACGCCCCTCATCTTAATCTTGACTCATTCTAATTTCCTCTGCTCATCTCAGAGGAGATAGCACTCCTCATATTAGAAGAGATTAGCCCTCTCTCGGTGCTCTGGGACCCATACACCTGACCCTGTGCCATCACCTGGCCTCCTTCTCTCACACACCATCCAGCAATTTGCATCCACAGGGTGAGGAGAGGCAGAGCATAATTAGGTCCTGGGTCCTGTGTTGGATGAGCTGTGACTTCTTCCTTGGGGCTCAGATTCTAAGAACACCTTCCCTCAGCTCTACCTCCTTTTCATTCTCCTCTTTTGCTTAGCCAAACTTCACGAGTGAGAGAATTCAATCACACTAGCTCTGCTTTCTTCATGCCAACCCATGCCTCTATCCACTGCCTGGCTTCTGTCTCCATTGTGTCACTGAAGTGCTGCCAGAGGACCCAGCGCAGAGCTGATAAAGCTGTTGGGTGATGTCTTTGTGGCTTTGCTTTTCCAGTCTTGTTCTCATTCTAGTACTTAACATGGTTGAAATTCCCTCCTTGAAATTCTCTCTTCTCTTGGTTTCCAGGACAACTCTGCCTTCAGGTTTTTCTCCTGCTTATCTTTCTCAGTATCTTGGGGGGTTTGGGGGAGTGGCAGGAGGGGAGGGCTGTTCATCTTCATCTGCTGCCTCCACACTGTTGATGTTCTCCAGGATCACCTCCTTATAGCTCTTTTCTGTCGACACACTTTGTGATGTCATTTGGCAGTAATGTAAGTTTTGGAAATGCTTCCACAAGAATGAAGTCGGCAAAAATCAGAAAATGGTTTGCACACAGAATAACATTTAAGTACCCAAGTTCTGTCTCTTCCTTTTCACAATCCCTGTGCTATCATTGTTTATCTCAAATCCATGGCTTAAATGGAGACGGATGGAGTGCCACAGAGCTTAGAGTCTCAAGTCAGAAAGGGCCTTACACAATTCTGAACTGTTATAAACTTACTCTCTAAACTAATACCTCCATCTGTTCTAGGGGGGCTGTAGGACTGGAAGTTCCCCGAATTAATTTCTGTGTAGAATGCAATGTTTATTAAAGGTTAAGTAATTGGAATGTGCTAATTTGAAGCTGACATATTTGTTATATTATTTAAACTCAACAGTAACCGCAGCAACTGTGTAGAACTTAGACAACAAAAGATTTTTTAAGGGAGGAGAATTTTCTCATTGACATTGTTTAGAAACGCTGGCACATGAGGATATTAAAAAGCAGACTGTGGTTCAGCAAGTTTTATTATTGTTTTAAAATTCTCTCTACACAAAGTGCCTCTCATTCCCTCCACCTGGGTTAGACTTTTCCCCTGTCCAGCCACCCTCTGTACGCTGGACCTCATAGAGTTTATACTCTACCTCTGAGATGCTAACCAAGATGAATCTTCCCCCTTGTTCCCACTACCACTATTTAGTTCAGGATTTTGGCATTTCTCTTCTGGATTATTATAATTATCTCCACCCTACTCTCTGGGTCACCAGAACTTCTCCCTTCCAGTTCATTCTTTATTACCAGAATTAAATTTAAGAAAACTTACAATATGACTTGTTTACTTCAAAACTCCCAGTGGCTCTTCATTCATTGCCCACATGAGTACATAAAATTCTTTAGCATGATGTACAAGGCTCCTTTTTCATACTCCAACCCCAACCCGTCCTTTAGAGTCAACCTAAACTCTGTTCCCTCTGCTCTACTTAAACCATGGATTTCCTTCCTTCCCCCAAATATTCTTTTGACTACCTTGACTTTGCCACAAGAGGCTTGCGGTGTCTTTCTCCCTTCCATCACTTATGAATGCTTTCCTTTGTCTCAGACCCAGTTGCTTTTCCTCTGTGTTCCCATGCCACTCTGCACATATCTCATTAGAGCACATGGAACATGCTCTTACAGTTTTTAATTTGCACTCCTGCCTCTCTGAAATCACTGTGAGCTCTTTGAGAACAGGAATAGTGACTTGTTCATCTTTGGATCTTCATCACCTATCAGAGTCATTAGCAAATAGCAAGTAGATTTTGAAAATATGTTAGTTGAAAAAAGTAGATTTGAATCTGTAAAGAATGAACCAAATGAGGGCATATGGTGTAGAAATTTTGGAGGGCATTTGGACAAATCTCACAAGTGAAGATCTTCAATCATGAATGCATCTTTTAAATACAATATTGAGGGTAAAAAGCCAGCTGCAAAACAGAAACACTACATTTATACGGCATTTAGAAACATGCAAAATAATATTATACTGTACATTATGTAGGGACACCCACATATAAAGAAAAGTATAAGATACGAATGGGAATCTAAGAAATCAGGCTGTTTAAGGGTAAAAGAGGGGAATGGGATTGAGGAAGGAGATATATATAGGCAATATTTTATTTCTTAAGCTCTATGGAGGGCACACAAATGCTCATGAAAGAAAAAAAAATGAAAGAAAAACAAAAGATCCCACTTAGGTTGGCTGGATATTGGATTTCCATGTCTAGACCTGGTGAGGTCTCTAAAACATCATCTCTGGGAAGTGACTAATGTGGTCTTGACAATAGATTCAGACGCTTGTGTATAATTTCCCTAACTTCCTTGTTATTCACTATGTACCGTGATCATTATACAGAGTTAAAAAAATAAGCACAAGAACATTCCTTTCCTAATTTGTTCTTCCTTTGTTTTTCATCTTACAGCTAGCAGCTACATCATCCCATGGGAAAGCCCTTCCCATGTCTATAAGTCTCTCTTAGTTAAAGCATATATCAGCTTTTAGGTTTTTCTAAAAATATTTAAAAGACTACTTAATTTGATTTCCACTAATTTATTCCAGTAGTTACATGTCCTGTGCTACCTGTGCAATCTGGAGTACTTTTCGAGGGCTTATTTATTCTAGTTGGGATGTACTAATTTCAGGCAGAGGTAAATTCTCGGAATGGTGCACAATACTCCCATTTTCCAATGACTGAGAAACTAAATTTTAAAATTCAAGTAAGAGAATTTATAGGCTAGTTTTCTATTCTAAAAGGGGAGCTGGGGTCCAAATCCAGAGAACCCTGTCTCCTCAGGGACCAAGACAGCTAATAAGTGGGAGTCCCACCCACCTCTGGCTTTAGATTGGCAGAACATGACAGAGTGACCCACAAGCTGAGGCTAAAGGTTGGCTCCTCCAGCTGGGTTGGAGTTGAAAAGGGGAATAGGGAAAGATTGAGCAATGATTCAAACCAAATGAAGTGGAATTGTGAAATTTAAGATCATGCTCTCAGAGTTTGCTAAATTTGTTTGGTATAATCTCTTCTTTATTATTCCCTTACATGAAAGTCAAATAGTTTGTGAATTAAAACAGCTAATTGCAGCAGATGCTTTTGGAAAGTGTTCCCCCACCAGAAAGGAAATAGAAAAAGCCATGAATTTCAAAAGAGAGCTTGTCCATTGATACAGTCAGTCAGTCAGGGGCCCAACAGGAAACAGAATTCACCTTAGGGGTTCAAGTGAAGTGTGGGGAAGTTAAGGCACAAGGAATGGAGAAGCAATGGGAACACAAATCTATTACCTCTAGGGCCCAAGGAGTCAAAAAGAGTTGTTACACTAACCCAGGTGGGGGCCAGAGCTATGGCTAGGCCACCATGAAAACCAATGTCTTGCGGGGGCCGCAGCTTCTGCCCGGGAAGCAGTGCCTAAGGCAGAGAGGGAACATGGCAGAACTACCCCACCTGTCCCTTCTTCTGTTTTCTAGTTCAGCGAGGGAGCATGAGTAGTGCAGTCTGCAAGGCTCAGCAAGGCTTGGCCTCTGCAGGCAGAGTGAGGCAGGCAGGCAAGGGCCAAGCTAGGATCTGGAGGGGAGTGGAGGAGAGCAGGTGCGGAGTAACCAGCCCACCATCACCCCCAGGAGTATGGCAATGGTAGGAAATAATTGACCTACCAGCTCTTTATCTGGGGACCATTTAATGGTCCAGCACATGTGTGAAATGATACCTGGTTGACTTTCTTTTTCAGCCAGTCCTAGGCCAAGGCCTCTTTCAAATATCCAAGTTGTTTTTACCAAATATTTAAAGGCTCATTAAAAAAATGTTAATTGACCAATTAGGATGGTTTTAAAACCCTGAAACAGAAGGAAACTCAGCTTTTGTTAGAAAATTATTAAATGTGATACTGGAAATTACCATGACTGTGTGAACTTAGCTAAAATTAGGCCAGAAGTTTAAGATTATTTATATCCAGTTGTTTTTAATCACACCTGCCTCATGGCCCCCTCCTCACTGTCTTTGTTGGTGGGGAGCCGTGTGTCTCCTTCCTAGATAGCACTGTTCCTCAGCCTTCCTCGGCCATCGCCTCTGAGAACAGGCAAAACTATGATAACACTGATTATCTCCTCCAACATCCTGAGCTCCACTTTCCATTTCATAAAAATTGAATCAGCTGTTAGGAGACAACTATTCTTTGTTGAAGGGGAAAGGTCGTTTTAGCTATAATTATTCTAAACATTAATGTGGTAGTGACAACAGATTTTTAAGTAGTCCCAGTAGGGGCCATCGTCAAGAAAAAGCATGGATGCAAATGCCTCTTACAAGATACTAGTTTTGCAATAGCTAGTAACAGACTGAAAAGAGCTAACAAATTGCATTCTATCCACCTGGGGATTGAAACTGCACTATCTAAAGATAGACTGCACTTCACATATTCAGACCCCTTCTATCACAATTTATAACAATCTGGGAAAAGTGACATTTCCCCCCTGTTCAGTCACTGGAGCACATTTCCAGGAAATCCAAATAGATAAGATGTATTCAAAGGTAGGATCCTTTTCAAGTAGTCGATTTTGATAGGTTTCTCAATATAATTGCAGTGAATCAATTGTTCAATGAGGAAATGAAGAACATTTCATAGGCAGGGGGAAGTTCCCCCAAATGTGTTCTCATTTCTTTCTTATTCTTCCAACAGCTTACAAATTCTCTTTCTCTCTCTACATACAAATATGTACCTTTAGGTAATCTTTCTTTAGATTTTGCACACCCCGTTGTCAGAATATGATGAAAATCTACTCTTTGTCATTTTTAGAAATGCACACACGTGTATTCATTTGTTAACTCTGCATCTGGCAGCTGTTAAGGAAGTATTCGTTGAGTGAGTGCGTCAATTTCTCCTCCAAATACGCTTGCATGTAGGGTACCCCTAGCTTCTAGACCTTGCTGATTGACCTCCCATGTGCACTGATGTGATACACTACCATCTACTCCTTACAGCAGCCATAATTCCCTATAGTCACGGCCTTGGGAGACAACTTGGAGGAGCGGAAAGCATAAGATCATCTGGATTCCAGTTCCAGTTCTACCACCCAGGCTATTTAATGCAAGGTCTCAGTTTCTCTTTCTGAAAAATGGATAACATTAGCTCCTAGAGTAGCTGTGAGGATTAACTAATATTGTGCATTTAGAGTCCAACAGAAGGGCATGCGAGGGGTTCAACAGCTAGTAGCTTCCTCCTTTCCTTTTAGACATGTCTGTGCGACGATGGTCTGTTTTAACTGGCAGCCCCGCAGGGGGCCATCACTCTTTATGGCACGCAGCTCAGCAGCAACACTCGAAGTTACCAGTTCACTGTCTTTCCTCCCCAGAAGACTGAACTCCCCAAGAACAGAAACTGGATTTGTCTGATTTGTCACTGTATCCTCAGTGCCTTGCATAGCAGGTGCTTAATACATATGTACTGAACGTATCTTGATATTACAGAATCACAGGACTCAAGAGCTGGTGAGGATCTTAGTGATTACCTTGTCTTACCTCTCATTTTAAATGTGGGAAAACTGAGATCTAGGGAAGTAAGGGACTTATCAGAAGTTGTTTGCCTAGAGCATGTTAATGCAACCCTCAGTGCTCCTTTGGCTAAAACACACTTCTTGTCGATGATGAAGAAAATGATATTGAGAATTGCAGGGAGTATTGCGGAGGCTCACGTCCCTTCTGGGGGCTGCAGGAAAGCCCACACTGTCCTCCTCTGCCTTTCACAGGTATATCTTGGGATAAAAATCAACTCTGGTCATGGTTATCAGATCTGTCAAGAATCTCATTTAAGTTATTCCACTATCTTCTTGTTTCACAGGTGAATGCCAAAGTCATCAAAACATCTTAATACCACTCCCCAGGCAGGGCGGGTGAAGGGGTTGGGGTGGGGTGGGATGGAGAAGTGGGAGCAGGTGATGGGGGAGGATGCTTTTAAGCCTTTTTCAGGTTTGCTTTGCGTGTGGTGCTCAGTCAAGATAGGAAACATTGCCCGTCAGCCCTCTGTAATGACTTGATTTGGCATATGGCAATTATTATTAATTTAAATATAGTACCTTGTAGCTGGTGTTTCAATTTTTAACAGTTTCTATATAGTGCAGATAGAAATGGACTATGAGGCAAATAGTGTAGATTATTCGTTAGAGAAGTCAACTCTTTTAACCCTTGTTAGAAACTGGTCTTATGACATCCAGCTGTGTCCTTGACACCTCTCTTGTTCCATTTGAGGGATCTGACAATGGACCTTGGGAAAGGATGCCCCTTTGTGTAATATACATCAGCATGTGTGCAGGTGTTTCCTTATGAATCAGAAGCAGATGTCTGGTTAGGCAGAATGTATGGCAGGTTGATACGTCTGGCCCCAACTAACAGGAAGACTATGACCCATAAATTGTACTAATAAAATACTGTCACTATAATTTTGACAGAACCATGAGACCAACACCTTTGTGCATCAGCACTGAAGGAGGCTAAATCCCACAGAGGACTTGGAATGGGCTCAAAATCTAGGATTGTTTGTTGAACCTACACAATGCCATTGATATATTTTATGAAACAAATTTTGGGAGACAAAGGACAATGAGACTCTACCCGCAAGTGTTCTTATTTGTAAATTTGTAAAATGTGAGTAGTAGAATTCATGAAACAAACATTTTACGTCTCTGCTATGTGTCAAGCGCCTAAAAGGCTCAGAAGAATGAATCTTCAAGGCAAGATCAAAGTCTGTTCAGGGACTTTGATGACAGGGCCATTTTCAAACAGTTCATAAATAAACAAATATATCAAACACCAAGTGCTTATAGAAAGCATGGGAAAGGAACATTTAGAACATACTGAACATTTAGCTCCATGTTGTAGGGAGTTAATTTAAAAAGAAACAAAACAAAACAAAAAACTTTTCCAACAAATGGTAAATCTATACTAACAAAATTTTAACTATAATATCATGAACTGTCCATAAACTACTTCAATTCTTTTTAGAACATGAATGATACTCAAAATTGGTATAGAATTTCCACTCTTTTCATGTTATTTGGGATTGTTTCCTATGATTTTTTTGTCCCCAACTTCCCTCCCCTAAACATTTTATTTTGTAATTTGGGCAAAACACTGCCTAATTTAAAACTTTACTTTATTCAAGTTTACATTTATAAATGACACAAATAATCTGCACATTTCTTTTTAGTAAAAAATTTGAGGATAGTTCCAGAATCACTTTACAATCTGATATTATCTGTAGCGTTTAAAATTTGGCCCCAAATAACTACTGTAATCCTGATAACTACTCTGTTTGAGCACAGTTATAAAAGTGAAGGTAAAGTATACGAACTACCGTGAAAAGAAAAGGACGGCAAAGGAGCAGGCGATGCCTTGAATGCTACAAATCTGTTCTGTGTGCAGCCACGCTCAATGACAACAGAATAATACACATTTATGAGAGGAAATAGAGGGGGAAGGCTGAGCATGTTTGATTTAAAGTAATTCTGTTATCTATCATTTGAGGGGGAAAAATTGTGCTGATTTTAAAACAATACTTTAGTTACAGATGTTTCCAGACCCCTTCCCTGATCCAAGGAAACAAAATACCATTCAGCAACAAGCCCAGATTTAGAGATGGGGCTTGTTCCAATATAAACATTTCTTCACTAGACCTTCTCTATGAAAATGCATAGTCAATTTTTCCATATACAGTGGGAAAGACAAAGCTTTTAGCTTAAAAGGCATTCTCCCCCGCAGTGCAGAGCTCCTGGAATGAATAGCCTAGGGACACCATGGTTCACTATTGATGTCAAGCTGAATGCCAATTTGGCCATCAGGATTATAGACCGAATTATGTCAGAATGTACACATGCCACAAACAAAAGACTCAGCACTGTTTTGGCTTTCAGCATTTGGTACGGTCATTTATTCATTCTGTCTTTTTGTTTCATGTACCACTGTTCACCTGGGGCCCAGTTTAGGATGTGGCACAAAGCAGGCTTTTAAGAGTAAATGAGGGATGCATAAACTTTTTTTTTTTTTTAAGCACTTCATACTGAAGGCACTTGGCTGGGCAATTTGGGGATCAGAAGATGAATCACAGACACTGCTGGCCTCCAGGGGTTTCATGGGGGCATATGTATCTTACCGTAAGGTAGGGCAGAACGTACTAAGAATCATAATGTAAGAGGAGAGGTACAGAGAGATGCTGAGAGCGTGAAGAAGGAGAGATTACTTTTAACATGGGAGTGGGGGGATGTACATCAAGAATGGTTCTTCAGAGGAGGTGACTATTGTGTAGAGTTGGGTTTTGTTTTGTTTTGAAGGAGGAAAGCTAAAGCTGAAAGGCTGGAAAGCATGGCGCATATTTTAATTATTCCCCATAAGATGCAGAGGCTCAAACTTCTGTGCCTTTTATTGTTTTATTGCTCAAAGCAGACATCTTTCATCCCTGGTAATCTACCTCAATGAAGGTACCAGATGGACCTACTATTTTTCTACTTTCTGGGACCTTCTTTGGAAAGATTAGCTTAATATCACGATTAAACTCAAGTGGCATCTTCAGCAACCTTCTTGCTTACACTATACTCCCACAGAGATACTTCTCTCTCTAAACATTGTAGATAATGTTGGAGGCATCCCCAAAGTAAGTGTTAAGTACGCCTAAAAGCCTCAATAATTCTTAGTACTCACCAGAACTCCAAGAGTGACTCTCATGTGGCTTTAAACTTAGGAAGCTTGGATTTGACAATAATTTCCAAGTTATAATTTATGCATAGGGACAATGTCATTAAACTATAAAAAGAGAATATTTTTATTTTATCCTTTTTCATTCTATCTAGTGAAATTTGCCCAAAGTGAGATGAGTAGAAGAATGGTGGTAGAAACACTTGGTTTTCTGGCCCTCTGAGTAGTTATAAGATTGATTTAATTTATGTAGAACCTATCAAGAATTAAAGCAAGAACCTGGTGCACTTGTTTTTCAATACTCTATTGTCAATAGCCCAGTCTCTGAGCAGCTGAAATGGAGCAGAAAACTATCCTCATTTAAGGCCTCAACTACTATTTCAGTGTTTTTTTTTTTCTTTTCTTTTTGAAGTCTGTAAATTTCTTAAGACGATTTGAACTATGCTTGAAGGAAATCTATGCTGACTCATGAACTTGTGGAGAAAGCAAATTTTCTAGTTGAATATGAGCTTATGTTAGCAGATTTAAAAAAAGGGAGAGAGATTGTAATCAAAGGAAAATCAAAACACAGTTTAGATCATCTGAGATGAAGATATAATGTCTGAAAACTAAAAAAAGTGTCCCACACTTGTTAGTTTTCAAAATAATTAAAATGGAAGAGCAGATGAAAAGATGTTCTACAGAAAAAAAAACCCACCAAAATGCTTATTTCCACTGAACATTTTGATATATTACACGTCCAAAAACACAGGAAAAATGTGCTTCATCTGCCAAAATAATCACAAATACTCTTTGAGATTAGGAAGAATCCAGCCCTTTAATAAAACCAAGAGATTTTAAACACCCTACAAAGAACATTATACTTCCCCCATAAAGATTCTTACTCTAACCTTACAAAGATGTTTGTATCTCCTTAAATACAGTATTACTCTCACCATATTGAGGATCCTCCTCACATCAAATACCAGGGGAGAGGACAGGGGATGACGGTGCCTGCTATTTGGAAAATGGACCACTGAGTGGGCAGCAGTTAAGAGCTGTCCTGCCTCCCACAGACCTTCCTATTTTGCTGACCACCAGGTGCTGCCCCAACCCCTGAAATACTGGTTATTAGAGTCAGGGCACATCGGAGCAGATACTACTCATGGGACAGTCCCTGGATTTCACCAACTGCAGTTCTGCTGGGCATTGGCAGATTTTATTTGAGAAACAGGTATTAATGAAGTGAAGAGGCTAAAATTCTGAACTGTTCCAAAGCAGGCTGGGAAGGTCCCATCGGGGTATGACTGCCTGAGTAGACCACTTTGGTGCCCTCCCACATTTCATTTTCCTCGTTAATTTCTCATGTTACTATTGTTTTGTTTCATGACAGGGGAATTTCTTAAAGTCATGTGGAAACCTGAATGACGATCGTATTGCAGGGGGGATGGCAGACACGATGTGGTCTGGGAATTTTTAAAAATTAACTCTTCAATTGTTTTTCAACAAAAGGGTCATTGTTCATTTTTGAAATAGATCTTTTTTTCCCTTTCTTCCTTTTAAGATCTAGAATGTGTTGTTTATTTTTTTATGACCATCAGAAAACTCTAGCCAGAAATTCTGAAATCTTCTTGCACTTGAAAGCCTTCTTTCTAAGCACAGGTGCTAACAGCAGAATTGAAGGGGTCAGTAGCCATATGGGGCCAATGCAAAAATCTCTGACATGAAAGAAAAGGTCTGAATGATAGGGTTATAAATTAAATTCAAAACTGGGATAAGAATCATGATCAAAAGGCTAAGAGAACTTCTAATATTTTCGTACTTAAATTACTCAGGACTGAGGCATACGTGGTAGCATAAGACATAAGAAGAAAGTAAACACGGATATGCTTTAGTCTGATCCAGCACGTTTCGTGTCCCAGCGCACAGGTCACCAGGTGTTCCTCATCACTCTTCTTTGTCCTGGTGATGGCATCCATGCTGTGGAACAGAGCGAGAGGACTGCTCCAAGAGCCAGGGAGCTTGGTTCTGGCCCCAGTTCTAGAAACCTGCTGTGGGACCTTGAGGAAGTGACTCAACTTTTGGCTCTAGTTTCCTTCTCTTTCAATGACATTGGTGGCACAACGATTCCTAGGCTCTTCCCATCTCAACAGTCTATAATTGTATAAAATTTCCTGTGGTCTCAATAACGTTACATGCTATGAGACTTTGGAAAATTCATTTGACATCTCCATGTTTCCGTAAATTAGATCAGTGACGCCTGGCCTGCCTGGTTTGTAACACAGTTGCAAGGAATAAAGATAGAAATATGCAGGAATATACCTTGTAAACCATGGAAGCTTTGTAAGTATTAACATTGTTTTTCAACTGAGTTAGTAGTCATTGGAAATTCCAATATTTGGCACTTGTGAATAACATTTGTCCAATATCAATAGATTTTTTTTTAAGTTTATTTTTCTTAGTAATCTCTATACCGAATGTGAGACCTGAACTCATGACCCCAAGATCAAGAGTCTCATGCTCCTCTGACTGAGCCAGCCAGGTGCCCCTAATATTAATAGCTTTTTAAAAGTGGAACTCTTTCAAGCTATGGGATGAGAGCTATAGAGAGCTTTCCTTACTCATTGGAAGATCAGTTCTCCCTCGGTGTTCTGCATATATGTCATAAAATAAAACAAGCTGAAGTTTGCCTTCATGACACTGTGAAATTCTTAAGGTGTCACTATTTTTAGTCAAGTGAGAAAGTAAAGTACAGTTTTTAATATTTATTTGCTCCCTTTTCATAAACATAACATTCACGTGGAAGCATTTTGGCCTTTGGAGATAAAGGACCAGAGATGGGTCCAATACTGCGTGCAGGGAGGGAAGAGTAAGACTACGTAAGAACCATCTTTTTTAGCTCAGAGTGTAGGTTAGAAACTGTAGTTTGGAAGAAGATGATGTTTATGGAGATGGAATAATTGGATTAAAAAAAAAAAAGCAACCAAGCAAACATCTGACCATTCCTGTGAGGATCAAAAGATACCAGTTAGCTGGTCTACTCACTACCACCCTATCCTCTTTCCAAAACTCCTTTGTTTGTTGTCCTCAGTACCCCCAGGTAATAACAGAGACAAAGTGGAATTTCCTTATTTCCTAGGAAAGGGCCAAAAATATCATCAGACAAGGAACAGGAAGCATAAAAATAACTCTCAGAGGAGTACCAATTGTTTAGAGATTTCGAGCTCCTGTTCGGCACTGCTGGGGAGGAGCTCAGCGCATCAGGGGCTCTGCGCAAGCAGCAGGCTGGCCTGGCCCCGAGGCAGGTGTGTGCACCACCGGACGACTGCCTAGGAGGCAGGGACTGGAACAAGATTTGGGGTAACATTTCGGAGAACTGTCATGATTGGGAACATCAACGTGGGAGCCCCCAGTCAAATGATTCTCAAATGTGTTACAGTAGAGATCTTTTTGTCCCCAGTGAAATATCATGTGGAACTCATCTACAAAACAGATAAAAAAAGAAGATGCTCTGGCTGAAGGAAGCAAAGCCCCAACTTCCTGCTGCTCAGCCACCCTCACCCCAAATTATACCCAAGGCATTTCGGTAAAGCCTTAGCTTGAAAGTCACTGATTTCGTAGCTTGTATGTCAAAAAGTCTCCAAAGAGATTTTCTTGCAATGATGTAATACATTTTTACAAACATCAGCAGCACCTCTGACTTCTCCCTCACCCTTGCTCTCCAAACACACAGCAAGTCCTCTTGAGAGAATCTCTGCAACGACCCCAGCATCTGTTCTGTCCTTTCCAGGCTACAGCCACCATTCCAATCCAGGCCCTTCTCCCTCTCTCCTGGATAATTACGAACGCATGACCTAGATGACTCTGATTCCAGGCTCTCTGGGGCCTCTTGTCCAAAGTATCCAATAGCCTGTTTCCAGGTTGATGTTGATCTGGAAGCACAACTCTCATGGGGTTTCTTTTCTACTCTGAAGTCTTCAATGGCTCCCTGTTGTCTAGTCCCACCAGCTGAGACTATATGTCTTACTAGAAGAAACCCATGTCTTTTGTCCTTACTCATCCTGTCCCCTCGCCTTGAATTTCCCCCAACTTTAAGACTGAACTCAAATACCAGCTCTCCCATGAAGTCACCTGGGACGCTTCTTTTATACCCTCGAAGGCTTTTTACGACACCTCAGTTGTGCTGTATTATGCCGCTGGTGTACTTGTTTCCTCTCTTCGACTGTGTTTCATTCATCTTTGTAGCATACGTGGCACTCCCTGAAGAAGCAGGAACTTTTTAAAAAATAGGAGAGTAAAGATATGGATGCTGATCGACCCAATGTCCCTGGATACCTAAGGGATAAAGGATGGCAATATAGAGCCTGGCATACTATTTCCGTATTTCAAAATATCTGCTTAAAATTAATTGTGACACACTCATAAGAAATGTACAGCTAAAATGAAACGTAAAATTTTTGTGTTTGTTTATGCTTTGGGCTGAAGATAGTACAAAGTGGTAACACTGATTATCTTATTTTATCAGAAGCTCTCTTTTGCAGTTATTAATTAATTTGTCCCATTAAAAATGAGTTATTGCTTAACACACTGCCTTTGGTAGGTGTTATGGACTCAGTTATGTCTCCCACCAAGCCCCGTGTTGAAGCTCTAACGCCCAATGTGACTCTGTGTAGAGGTAGGGCCCATAAGGAGGTAATAGAGGTTAACTAAGGTCGTAAGGGTAAGGCCTGACAGACTGGTGTCTTTATACAAGAGGAAGAGACACTAGAGAGCTCTCTCCCTCTCTGCACACGCACAGAATAAAGGGCAGGTGAAGACCCAGAGAGAAGATGGCCATTTGTGAGCTAGGAAGAGGGGATTCACCATAAACTGACCCTGATGGCCCCTTGATCTTGGACTTCTAGCCTCCAGAACTGTGAGAAAATAAATTTCTATTATGTAAGCCTCCCAGTCCGTGGTATTTTGTTACGGCAGCCCTAGCAAACTGATACGATAGGCAACCTATTTCAAAACATGAAGCCAGAGGAATAGGAGAAATAGATGTTCTTGAGCATGAAAATTTGGGGGGCCACTACTGTGGCCTTCTCCCAGGGTACCAGTGCACTTCCTCTGACTACGAGTACAGCTCTTCTCCTAGTCCACGAGGGCAGAGACCTGGGTCTGTTCCAGATGGACCCATCAGTGGCTTGATGGTGTTTCTCAGCACTTGGCTCTTAATCCTTTTGTGCTGAATGAATAACTCCCTTTTTTTCAGACAAGCTGTTCACTAGAAAAGGAGTTAATAGCTTATGTTTCTTTTAGGTCTGACTTGAATCTTTTCTGTTGCTAAACTCCCTTTTAATATTGCCATTTATAAAGAAAAATTTTAAAAGGTAAACTGTTTCTAAACCTTCACTTGGTTTTCCTATGATTGACATACTTCGTCTAATCATTTCCTCCAAAGTCCTGCTTTTACCACATTTCGGTTTCTTGCCTTATCCTTCTATCGAGTTCTTTTCAGTCATAGATCCTCAAGGTAAACTCAGGATCCCACTGAAATGATTAGTGCTTTGCATAGCTGGAGAAACATGAAAACATACACATTCATAAATTATGTCAATTTTTATTCCTGTTATGTCCAAAGAAGAACCTCTCATTGTTACTGAGATGATGTCGGTTTACTCTCTAACTAAAAAAAAAAAAAAAAGCCAAAATATAAACATACCAGTAATTTAAATATTCTTTATAGACTTGTCAACTACTAAGACCTCTCTGGCATTCCTGGATGATACTGGGGACCCTTAGTTGAGCTACTGTCAGGCTCGCTGAGATTTAGAATCCGATGTTAAAGGGTCGTTATAGGACAAAGATGATGAGCTTGGAGTCAGATTCTAAACTGTGATCTTGAATAAGTTACTCAACTTCTATGTGACTCGGTTTCCTTGTCTGTAAAATAACACTAATGGTAGTGCCTTCCTCATTATGTTGTGAGGAATAAATGAACTCATTATACACATAAAATGTCTAAAACAATGCCTGGGACGCAGCAACTGCTGATCGAATGCTTAGGAGTTAAAGCTAAAAGGATCTTTGAAACCAGTCAGCTGGCTGTCTTGAAGGGGTTCAAAGCTGTTATAAAACAGTCCCCCTCAGGGCTGAGGCGGCATCAGGGAGATGTGGAGTCTGCCAGGAGGATGCAGATGCCCCCTCTGATGCAGGAGAGGCACAGAGCCTGACTCAAGAGCGCTTCCCTGCAGATCTCAATCCCTGTAGCGGAGGGCCAGCTTGAGCATTAGCCTTGGCAATTTTCATTTCGTGGAGCTAGCTCTTCTATATCTCTGAACATCATCTTTTTAGCCTAGGACAAAGACCACACTTCTCACTCCCTGAAGACACATTATCCTGAATTAGAAAGCTTCCCTTATTAGCAAGGGGAACATTGCAATTCCACTATTTCCTGAAGAGTCTGAGCAACACCCTGTTCTCAAGCAGATGCCACAAGTAAATTCTTCCCCTTCCTCCCCTCCATTTCCCTCAAGGACAAAGAGTCTCCAGGGGTCCTGTTTCAAGGATAGGGGTGGCTGGAAGAAGGGGGAAGTAGGCAACCTTCCCTATCAGTTCATAAAAGCCCCTTCCTGAGCACCTAGGCCGTGTGGCCATGGTTTCAGCTTCTCCACGTTCCCTGAAGCAGCCGTTTGCTTTGAACTTGTTTTTTATTCTACAGCGCAGCATTTCAGGCCAGGGGCTACCTGGGTGGGCCTGTGAGCCCTCTCCCTAGCCTCACACAGCCCTGAGCTGGGTTTCTATTTTAGGCCTCCCTATAATTACATGAAAAAACCTTCCCTTTTCTGGATTCCCAATTTCCTCTAAGTCCATTAAATTTCAAGCCCAGCTGCCTTTGAGAGGCTCACACATCTCCTACTCTACCGTGCATATGAACAAGCTGGGGATCTGGTGAGAATGCGGGTTCTGATTCCGGGGAGCGACTGCGAGTCTGCATCTCCAAGGCCAGCCTCTGTGGTGCTCATGCTTCCTCCCTTGGGCCCAGCTTTGGGTCACGGTGATTAGACACCTGTTCCCTGTAGCCGGCAACAATCAGAGCATTCCCACGCCAGGGCCCCTCACACAGGGACGATTCTGACTTCCAGAAAGGTCCTCGAAATTATTTGCTTCCAAAGGTCACTTTTTGCACAGTCTAGAGTAGGTTATCAAGTTAGCCTTCCTCTTTACCTTCTCACGAAGTCTCTGTTGAGAGCTGTACTGTGCACACGGCAAGGCAGTGACTTCAGCTGATGTTTGTAATGAATCAATAATCCATCACCGACTTTCCCTTCCTTTTGCACTGAGTGAAAATACATTCTCCTCTCTGGACCAGGTCACGTGTCCCTGAACTGTTGAGATGCGAGGACATAGGCCTCCCCTCAGTAGTTCTCCCTGCCCCTCACGTCTTCCAGTGTCATCCTTCCTGTGCTCTGTGTAGAGCTTCAGTGTAGGGTCATCCCGAAGGGTCTGGATAGGGCAGGTGGCAGTCCGCAGGAACCTAGGTGTGGGGGACCACTGGCATTCATCGGACCTTGGTATGTCACCTTGGAAAGGCTCATGACTGCGGCTGGGCCGGTGCTCTGTCCTGTGGCCACCCTCAGACCCACGCCTGGAGTTGTTAGGAAGCAGGGAAAAGACCCACCAAAGCCTCCAGGTCAGGACCCTGCGTTTCCCTCAAGCTCTAGGCTCCTCAGGCTTGGGGTTCTAACTAGGACAGCAATTGTGACTCTGAGTGACTCTGTTCCTTAAGCCAGCTTCCTTTCAATGAGCATAAATTTTGACCTATTTATGAGATAATTATAGAACTTTGTTGCTAGAAATAACCTTGTTTTTGTTTGCTTATTTTGTTTTATTCTTTTTAAACTGTAGAAATTGAGGACCCAGGTGGTGAAGGGATTTGCCCAGATCCCTTTAACTGGGAAAGGTGAGGTGATCTTGTTGTCAGTGGCATGGCCAAGAACGAGAATAGTTGGTTCCAGACTCACATTCCAGGGCTTGTCCCACTCCACTGAATTCCATGGGACTCTCCTGTAGACCTCATCTTAAGGATAAACAGAAACCATAAAGAGTAGTGAATAATAGTATATTAGAAGCAAACAATTTTTCTCTTAAAGATATATATATATATATATATATATATATATATATTATTGAAACAGTTTGAAAGAGTATAAGGCTGAAAGTCAGAAGACAGAGTGCCTGTCACTGCTGCTAATGAGTGAGCTTTGTATCCTCAACTGCCTCCTACCCCGAGACTCAGTTTCCTTGTCTACAAAATGAGAGGGTTGAATCTCTAAGCTCTCTATCTAGATCTAACGTTCTGTGATCCCTTTGATTTTACGGTTTGCACTGCAAGGTATAATAGAGTTATACATCCAATAATAACCACCCACTGGCTCTGCATTCACACAGGCCTCCTTTATGCTGAATTCTGTGCTGCAATAGGGGCTTCAGGGCTTGTCTCTTATAGATGGAATTTCAGGGTGTCTCCTGGTGTTGATCATGACAGACCACAATTCCAAGGGAACAATACAGAACGAGGAAGTTATTCATGCACCGCAAACACTGGCTCATCTCCAGGCATTCAGACTCTCTTCCGTCTCCCAGTAACATGCATTTAGGACCTCACCTGTGACCGGGGAATTGACAGAATCACAGATGACAGAATCACTCTGCTGCTCCCGGGACTCATGGCATATCAGCAGGAAGAGAGGTTACCTTTAGGGCACTGTCAGCTTGTCAAATTGTGTCACTGTTCCTCAAGGGGGAAACAGCCTGTGTGGCCTTGAAGCTTGAAAGGCATTGTGGAATAACTCTACTGTGGAAGAAGAGTCCAGCCACAATTTTAAGCCCGGGATCCCAAATGTGGGCTCTGGCTCTTGCTGTCATGCTAGATGGTTCCACAACCCTAGGATCCCACAGTATGAGGCTCACTAGACATTTCTCTTGCCTTCTGCCGGTGTCTCTATTACACATTCCTTTGGGTCCACATTTGGCTTTACAGAGCTGTCGTGCAGTAGGACACGTTGCAATTCACTGTGTAAACAGACAACATCACTCCATGTACCAGTCACCTCTGAGGCCAGTTTTAGTGAAGACATCTCTGATCTCTAGACTCCCTAGTTTCCTTTAGTGTAATCATGCCACTTCAACGAATGGAGGACATGATTTCAAAATAAACACAAATGCATGAAGTCTACACTGCACGCAAGGGTCCTTTTAGCTGTAGTATACAGCATGGATTACTGGTCTGGTCTGCAAGAGACTTGTGCTCATGCAGCTGTTGGTGGTATGGGATCTCTCCAACTCATCAGTTCTCATGGAGCCATAAATGTAGGTATTCCACTCCAGTTAGGTAAACACTAGATCTTTAGCTTCTTCCAAAACACAACACACAAACTAAGAAACTCCTGGAAGTGAAAAGGTTAAATTGCATATTCCTTAAAGTATGTCTGACCACCCCTCTCTCCTCTTTTTTAAAAACAGAATTTATTTCTTTATGTATTTTTTTTCTTTATGCAGGGGATTTGGGCTTGAATATGGACATTTTCCCACTACCATTCAGCCTCAGAATGCTGTTTTCCCCAAGTTTCTCATGATAAAAAGACTCAGATTCAGAGCCAGCTGCTGGCAGCTGAATTTCATTAAGACTTTGATGGGAAACTTAAGTTGGAATTACAAACATCTGTGGCTAAGCTTCCCTTTAGTAAACCATTTCCCAGAATTTAACTTTACCACATTAGGAGCAAAAAAGAAAACAGTTGAAAAAAGAATGCTTCTCTTCGGCAAATGCTGGAGTAGATATTTAAATATCCTTCTCTGTGGTCACTACATCTCAATGAACCAGCAGATTTACTGGTTCCAGAAAACAAATAAGTAAGTGTTTGGAAATGCCAACTTCTGGAACTCAGTAATGTACTGGTAGTCTGATTTTAATGGTTTCTCATCAATCAGATGTCTCAAAATTATGTCTGGCCACCATTATATTTATATGGTTACTTTGAGCAAGGAAAAACCCAAAAGGAGAGGAGTGTTTTTTGGCATTACATATTTCAAAAAACCATGACAGGTCAGATTTGAGAATTTAATTGTGAAAGAAAAAAAAGTCCTTGTCATAACGATGTTGGGGTTTTTGTTTAGCTTTTTGGGGCTTTAGAAAAACTCATTCATTTCTCTTTACTGCTCAGATCATCCTATTGTTGATGAAAGGCTATGTTTAAAGAATCATTGGAGATACAATAATTACAAAAGTTCAACGACAGTCTCCTTCTCCAATGTTGGATAATCAGCACATTTGTAAGGAAAAGTTGGAAGTAATCAAATTTAGATAAAGAAGTAAAAATTTAGATAAAAATAAATTGATAAAACAAATCTTAACTTGCAGATAGATAAAAACAGTGGAAGGAAAGGGGAGAGGAGGTAGAAGAGACAGGGAACTGAAGGCAGACTTTGTGAGGTAGCTTATATCTATTACTTCACAACAATCTTGCAAGGCAAATACATTTCTGTTCATTCGACAATCAAACAAACTGAGCCTCTGAAGGATGGACTAATTTGTTCAAAGTCAAACAGCTAGAAAGTAGTGGAGCTGAATTCATAGCACATCTGTTTGGCTAGATGCCCACATGGTACCTTTGATGAAAGGTGAATTTCAAATGTTGTTAAGCAGAGACTGCAAATAAACAACCCTTGGGCTGAACGGGGCCATCAGATGTACATCCCACAAGGTAGTAAAAAAAAATTGAGTCAGCAATTTTACCTAAGAATCCAGATTCTGTTTTCTCTTGAAAAAACAAAAACAAAAACAAAAACAAAAACAAAAACAGAAGACCTGGCAACACAGAGGTGGCTGTCTCTCTGGATGAGACAACCCTTCTCCTGTCACTTTGGCCTTAACCACTCCCAGGGTGTATTCCTTTCACTGCCCAGTAATGTTTTGCTTGGCCTCTATAAGAATCCAAGTTTTAATTTTATTCCTGAACCATACAATTAGCATTTCCACTTCTGGGTATATACCCCAAAGAATGGAAAGCAGAAACTCAAAACACGTATGTGTATATCAATGGACACTGCGACATTATTCACAGAAGCTAGCAGGTAGAAGCAACCCAAATGTCCATCAACAGATAAATGGGTAAGCAAAGTGTGGTATATACATACAATAGAATATTATTCAGCCTTAAAAAGTAATGAAATTTGAACACATACTACAACACAGATGAACCTTAAAGACATTATGGTAAATGAAATAAGCCAGGCACAAAAGAACAAATGTTGTAGGTTCCACCTACATGAAGTAGCTATTATCGTAATATTCATAGAAACAGAAAGTGGAATGATGGTTGCCAGCATCTAGGGAAGGGGGTAATGGGGAATTATTCTTTAATGGGTATTGAATTTCAGTTTGGGAAGATGAAAAAGTTTTGGAGATGGATGGTGGTGAAGGTTGCATAACAATATGAATGTACCTAATGCCACTTAAAAATGGTTAAAAGGAAAATTTTATGTTACGTATATTTTACCACAATAAAAAAAAGTTACGGTTAAATCCAAGAACTCTGGAACTACAGCAAAGGGAATTCTTTATTTTCCAGCAATTTTATAAAAATTCTGTGAGATGGACCATATATTCCTGTAGGTGGTGCTGTTCTGGATTCTTTCCCTATTAATCTAAATCAGGAGCTTCTAATGTAGACTATAGCATCATGAAGAGGAAAAACACTAGAATATACTTATAAAAGGAAAATGGGATGCAAGAAAACTCTAGAGTTAAAAAAAAATCTATCAGGGAGACCCAGTGATTTGCCGGAAAAAGAGAATGGGATTTTGGAAACCTTGGGCAAGGTACTTAACCATCTCCAAACCTTAATTTGGTCATCTATAAAATGGGTATAAATTTCACTATTGAGTATTACAAAAGATAATACATGTAGTTACATGGGACATAGTAGAAATCAGGAAGTGTTATTTTTTGTCTTTCCTATATGAGTAGTTTAAAAAGTAGCTATCAGACGGGTCCGGAAAAGTAAGTTATCTCAATTCTTTGGTAATCCTAAAATTTTATGCAACTACTCATCAAGCAAGCATTGCACAAATAGTCTTTGAATGGCATTTTATATAACTTTAAGAAATTCCCAAGACTTTGACTGAAATTATGTCGACAGATAGTTTTAGTAACCTAACCACTTTTTCCTAGATACTCTTGCACAATTGAATTACTTTTATAAACTCCTTCCTAGCTGTGCCACTTACCAGGTAGCGTACCTGGGCAAATGCTCTGTGCCTCAGTTTCCATGTTTACAAAATAAGATAGTAACTATACAAGTCCCACTGAGTTGTTAGGAGGGTTTTTAAAAAAACATAACTCACGGGGAATGCTTAGACTAGTGTGTGGCCCGTGGTAATAATCAATGAGGGCATGCCACAAGCCATGCTATTATTATTATTACTACTGCCACTGCTATATTTAGTCCTTCTAAAATAATGTTTCCCAGGAAACTTCTTTGGTATTAGGTGATTGTGTCCTACTGATCTGGCTCAAGAGTAATCTTTTTCCACATTACCCCCATGGCCCGTAGCTGCTAGCCACTCTCACAGAATATTAATTCATTCTGCTTTATAGAGTGGCTGTGTACATATTTTTCGTTCTAAGACTGCCTCCTCCCTGAGGGGAGGGATGTGACTCTGCCTTCCTTCTGTCCCTCCTGGTGCCTACTTATTGCTCTCTGTACAGGGTAGGGCTCCAAACCTGCTTGTTGATGATACTGAGTGAAGGAAATAATGACGGCATGTGGGGCTTCACATTACCTAAACGCGCTGTTGAGCAGCAGTATGGAATGATGGCCCAGGCCAGTGACTTAATGTGGTTCAACGGGGCCATTTTCAAAGTAAGGGCCCAAGATAAGGAAAAGGAATGAAGATAGTGAAAGAGGTCTAAGCTGCCTTTTAATAAACATACTGCAATCCTTTAGTGTCAAGGCACTGCTACACTGGAGCACAGGATCATGGATCAGCAATAAAAAAAAAGTCTAGAGGAAAAGTTACTCAGAATTAGTCTAGTTCATAGTGCTTTTTTTAAAGCCAGCAAATAAGTGTGTCCAGGGTGGAGTATCTTTGCACATGTGGTTCATGGGCCATTGATTTTCTCCGAAGGCAGCTAACAACAACAACAACAACAACAGCAGAGCCCAGTCAGGTTACCAGGAGGTAAATTCCCGTTTTCCTCTCTGAGAGAAGTTTGCTCAATATTGTCACTTATTTCCCTTAATTTCTCAATTATCTCCCAAAAGGCAGTCACAGCACCGTCGCCCCCGCCAACCTCCCATTCTGCCCCTCTAGCGGGCCCTCCCCCCCAACTCTGCTGAGTCTCTGTGCGGGGCTTCTTCCCAGCCACACAGTGGCAAACTCTAACCTAGTGTTCTTGACCTTATATAATGCCTGCTTCTTTTTGACAGACAAGACTGTCCTTCCTGCCAAGGACATTCTGATACCCTCTCCTTGGAGACTGTTCCTGTCTCCATTCCTGTACCCCCTCCAGTTCTTTCACATATCCATATTGGTTAACAGGACTTTTGCCTAATTTTACTTGCTAGAGTGTGTATGATAAAAATCAAGGCTTTCTTTTCTTAAATGTAAAATATTAGAAGAGTGAATATACTTTTTTGAAAGTACCCAGTCTCTCCTTTGCCCACCCCCACCTACTGAGAATCATTGCTTTCGCCATAAACTCAGCAATAGTGGACTCAGGAAATTGTTAAAAAAACAGAAGGTGGGAAAATCCTACCCCTTAGCACAGAGTTACCGGTGGGTGCTACTCTTTTCAAACTCTTTGCATCCTGGGGGATGTTTGGGCTTGTTTGAGAAGGAAAGGAGGAATCTTCTTTCTTGGTCAGCCAGTGCTCCTCATCCTTTTATTCAGTGTGCATTTAATGTCTTTGATCCCCTAACTCACACTGAGCAGTGCAGTGTGTGGGAGACTGGGGCGTGTGTTCAGAGCTGAGGACCCAGGGGTAGGGAGAGCACAAACCTTGCTGTCGAGGAGCTTGGGAGAGCCTTTGGAGGGTCATCAGCCAAGCACCTCCCACTGCTCCATGCTTGCCTTAGTATTTTTCTTCCTTAACTTTGAAGGGAAATTGAGGAAAAACCATTCATATAAATCCAAGTCAAATACAATGAATGTATTTTTAAAATGTCCCTCCATTCACATCTCGAACTTCCCATGAATAATGTGTCATATGAGTCCATGGTCTCGTTCTCTCTGTCTATAGATGTAAATACAATCTCCTGAACCAATTCAGTAGAGTGTCTCTACGAAGTTATTACATTTCCAGAATGTATTTGGTTTATGGTCTCCTTACTGGCTATAAAGAGCATGGGAAATCTAAATGCCGGGGCACTGGGATCGCCATGGGACCGCAGGCTAACTAGAGGTATTATGTGAAACTATGCAGTGGGAACATAATTACTCCAATCCCACCCTTTCTACATCATATACTTTGACCCTTCTGGAATGACTAATAGCTTCTTTCTGTTTTCCTAAACCAAAAGCCTCAACTGGCATTCTGAACCTATTAGACTCTGACAGTATTACAAATTTAACTCACTATACGATATTCTTCCTGGTTGGAAAGATATAGACAAACAGAGATATAGCAATATTAAGTAAAATAGCACCATAAAAATAACGTTCTGAGAAATATTCCCAAATAAGGGTTTCTTTTAATCCAATCATCTGCATATTTTATACTGATAGTAAGATTCAGAATGTATAAAGCATTTATGCTATACCAAGTACTGTGTTAAGCATTCTTTCTGTATATTTTATCTAATTTTATCACGGTAACTGTAGGAAGTATGAAGTAGGCATCAATACTTTCTTTAAGCCTCAGTTTCTTTCTCTATAATTTGGGCATCTGTGATTTGCCTTAGGTAAGGAGCAGGAAAGTTGAAATTTGAACTTGGGACCATCAGAGTGCAAAGCCTGCCATTTAAAATAATCTGCTGTGCTGCCTTCCTATTATTTCACTGAGCATATGATTGTATAAGAAATCACTCAGGGTCTCAGCAATAAATTTAAGGTTCCCTGAAAATCAAATAATTATTTTCTTACTTTTTGTGGGATGAGTGTTTCAAAAAGTTTTGTGTGCCCATATCTCCAAAATCAGCAGATAAAAATACAGAATGCTTAGGTAAATTTGAATTTCAGATAAACAATAAATAATTTTTTTACTATAAATACATCCCATGCAATATTTGAGACATAAGCAAAAAATCTATTTGTTGCTATCTGAAATTCAAACTTAATTAGATGTCTTGTATTTTATCTTAATAAAAGGGCAACCTAACCTTAGGCATTTCACTCTGAGATTTTCCGTGCTCAAAGCAACAGGTGGAAATAATGCTTCCTCGGGGCAGGGGGTTAATTCCTAGCCTGTGGAGAAGCAATGCCTTCCCGTTGGTGTCTCTCCTGGCCTGGCTTCTCTCCATGCCTGGGGAGTATAAAGCTGAGCAGAAGCCTGCCCCCCTCTTTCACATAGAGGTTACTTTTTGCACCACAGTGGGAGGTTGGTATGCTCTGGTCCTACCCACCCTCCCTCTTTTTTGGGGGGTGTGGGTGGGGCTCACTCCTGGAGAAGGACCATCTTCATGCACCTTATTTTGGTAGTAATAATGAAGAACTACTGTTCTATGAACAATTAGCAGGATTAATAGTAATAATCCGGACTTCAGTTCTGTTAGAAATGGTGTCAATCCACATAACTGCTTTGGTTCTATAGTTGCTAGAACCATAGCTATAGCGTGTGTGTGTGTGTGTGTGTGTGTGTGTGATGTTAGGTCCATTGCTCCTTCCTTTCCCATGAACTTAGGTGACTTCATTTTCCTCCTACTTAACATCTCCCACGCACTGGACATGCTGTTGTCCGTCTTGGCTCAGGGGACTCTTAAATCACTTACTCTGGATTCATCCTCCTTTACCCAATTACTACATTTTGGTTGTGCTTTCAACATAAAAGCAATTGTAAGGTATTTAAACAGCAGCTCTTTGCATAACCATATATTCAATAGCATATCCTGATCATTTTAACTTTTGGGATGGGGCTTGATTTTCATCACAACTTCTTGCTTCGGGAATATGGCTCCCGTCTATTTCAAGTATCCGATCTGCAGCTTCCCAACAGACTCTGTAGTATCCCATCACCCTCAGCCACTGGCGCACTCTCCCCTGTTGCAGAGAACCTTCTGTTTGATTTATGACAAAAGGATTGGTCCCGCAGTATTGTTTCCATTGTCCCAACATCACAGAGGAGCAGGAAGCCAGGGACAGGGCACACGCATTGGGAGCTGTGGCTTGGCAAAAATGACTCTCCTGGGACATGCAAGTGGCAGAAAGTCACAGAAGCGCCACTGCAGCCCCAGGTGAGAGTCTAAGCAGCCCCACTGGGACTACACAGGACACATGCACTTCTGCTAGTTTGAACAGTGACATGTTCCAAAGCCTCAACTCGCAACTCACGACGTCCCAGTCCAACTTAACAAAGTAAAACTCTTCATTCCAAGTTTCTGAACGGACCTGGTACAGGTGAAACTCTCGAGGCGGATGGGGGAGGGAACGAGGAGGGGAGAGGGGGGGACGCGAGCGTGGCGCCCGCACCCCGCGGGGCGCAGGTGCCGCGGCAGGGTCACAATGGCAGGGACACCGTACCTTGGCAGCAGGCGGCAGCCTTCCGGGAGCCACGCGGGGCTCGCTCGTCTCGGGCGCGTCTTGTCTGCCGGCCGCGGAGCTCCCTTCAATGTCAAAAGGAAAAGCGTTGCGGTTCCCGGCCGCCGCGGCGGCGCACGCAGCGCCCCAGAGGAGCCACAGCGGCAGGACTGAGCGCCGGGCTGAGCTCACGGCCATCTCTCCGCTGACATCCAGCAGGGCTCTGCCTGGGGCTCGGCGGCGGTTTGTCCTGGTCGGTAGCCCCCGCGCCGTGGGGCGGCGGTGCCTCGCTTGCTCTACCTTCTCGGCCTGCGCCGAGTCCGATGTGGGAAGTCAAGGCGGCCCAAGGAGCAACTTAGTCAAAAGGGAGAGGGAGCGAGTGAGCGGGAGTCCCCCTTGCCCCCTTCTCTCTCCTCTTTCCTTCTTCCCCTCTGCCTCTCTCGCTTTTCTCTCCCGCTTTCTCTCTCCCCAGAGGCTCTGGCTGAAGGGCGTGTAGATGGATGAAGCTTAAGGCTGAGCATCAAAAGGCGGACGGGTGTGGGGCGAGCCCCGCCGGCCACCTCCTGGCCGGGGCGCGTGAGGACTGAGGGCTGCGCTGTCCTGCCTTCCTCCTCACATCCATTCGCACCACTCCCTTTCTACCTTCCACTTCCAGGCCCTCCCACTCCGACTGGCGTTTCACACACCGAGCTCTGGGCCTTTCCCTGGCCGTCCTCCCCCTCCCATCTCAGTTTGGAGGCCCTCCAAGGGACCCCCATGAATGTTCAGCTTTTGTGATTGCTTCCTCCCATCTCTTATTTATTTAGTCAAGGTGCCCGGTGTCTTATCTGTATTTATGTAGATCTCTTATGTGGCCCCCTAGTTTGCAGGGAAGTGAGTGGGAAAGGGATTCCAGGGGCAGGAGCCAGAGGTAGGCAATCTCACTCTGTGGCAGAGGGGGAGGGCACCCACTTTCTTGAGCAAGGTTTCTCATTTTCTAAAGATGGAATGCTTCACTCTTTGAGCTATCTTCATTGAGACTGGCTGGCCGCCGTCTTCCTCTTGACAGTCCTCACCCAGGGGGCTTGGGAGAAGAATATCTTTTACTGCAGCGCTGGAAAATGACTTCATTACGCAAATGCATGAACTTTTATTTACAAAGAGCATCTTGTTTTCATCCTAAAGAGGTGCTTTGTAAGGGCTCTGGAACAAGGCTTGCAGTGTATGAGCCTGTCAAATATACTGCCCACAGCCCTGGCCTCTTCCTCTAGGCCTGTAATCTCATGCCTACTACATCTGTGTGAGTCATGTAACCTTTCTTAGACTTTGGGCGAAGTTGGCTACAGTTGTGCGGGGGTGCCCCTGTGGGTGGGTCAGTGGTCACTGCAGCTGATAGGTACCTTTGCTTACCTTGGCTTCATAATGGAGCTTTAAACATTCCCACAAGACCCAAACATGGCTTAAAAAGGATTAGATGAAGCAACCTTAAAATGACACCCAAGTAAGTCTCTAGATGTTTGAAATTATCCATAATCATGCAATAAAGCATTTTCATAAAACTTAATCATTAGCTCTATTTTACAGGACAGAAGTTACTTTATCTAAGAAAAAAACCCACTCATTTATTTTGCACCTACTCTATGTCAGATACATTGTATATGTTATTTTGTAAGACTCACAGCATTCCTGGAAAAGAGGACTATTATTTCCTTTTTACAAAAAAAAGGGGGGGGGGAGGTTCTGGGAGCCTAAGACATTTGCCCAACATCACACAGCTGGTAGAAAGCTAAGCTAAGGTTTGTACTGGGGTATCACTGATTCCAAAACAGTCTTTCACATCTACACAGCACTGAAACTCATGAGATAAAGGACACAAATCCGGAATAGGGGAGATGACATTCCCATTTTTTGAGTACTTTCTATGTGCCAAAAAGTTTGTGTAAATTATCTCATTTAATTTCATCATTGGTATAATCCCATGAGACAGTTATCGTTACATACATTTGGTAATGGGGAAATGGTGAAAGTACTACTATCTGATGCTAAGGTCATTGATTTTTTTTTTTAAGATTTTTATTTTATTTATTTGAGAGAGAGAGAACATAAACAGGGAAGAGGGTAGAAGTAGAGGGAGAAGTAGATCCTCCCGCTGAACAGGGAGCCCGACATGGGGCTCTATCACAGGACCCTGGGATCATGACCTGAACCAAAGGCAGACACTTACTGAGCCACCCAGGCATCCCAAGGTCATTGATTTTGAACAATAAAATGATATGAGACAAAAGTGTCAAAGCTGGTAGAAACAAAAAGTTCTCGTATATCCCCAAGTATTTGTAATATTTTCATTTTAAGATATAAAGATAGCATTGTAATAAACCAGTAAGCTAAACTATGATCATCTGCTACATAAACTCGATAACCCACTAAATTAAGTGAAAATACTTAAAAATATGTTTGGTTGGCTCTTGAAGAGACTGATATTGGGAGGCAGGATGGCTAGGGTCTAAGAGGAAGAAATGATGTTTCATTATCCTGTCCCATTCTCCCTTGAAAAAACTTTAAGTAATAATAAAATAATAATAATAATAGCAAAAATATATGCGTCATATTCTGACTTCAGAGATAGACCTTTTCAGTACACAAAAATTGTTCACGTTTGTTTTCTGAAGGATTATGTCCTGTTCTTCACTAACTGTCAATCAATCACACACTTTGTATTTCACTTGCCTCTTCTCTCTACCTATAAGGTCATGTTCAGGTTTTGGGAAAGGCCTGAATGGTGGGGGTGGGAGTGTATTTGTCCAAGACCCATAAACTTTTTATTGTTGATTAAATATGTGCTTCCAATTCCTCCTCCTCATCTTCTTTTTGCAGATACTATTATTTTTGAGGCCAAAAGCATAATACGTAAGAGCATGGGTTTTGTAAAAATAAGGTTCAAATCATAGGTCGGTTTACAGTTCTGGGAGCTTGGCACACACATAGTCTCTCTGGATGTCAGTTTCCTCACCTATAAAGTGAAAGAGGTCAATGATACCTCTTTCACTGAATTATTATAAATAGTAAATGAAATAATGTAAATAAAGCATTAACAGCCTGGCATATAGTCAGTGCTCAATATAGACTATTTAACTAGACTGTATTTCAAAGTCTTAAAAAAGAACAGAATAACTATTTTTAAAAGAGGAAAAATAACCATGTTTATTTATCCTGTAGCTTGGGTAACCTCACATTTGCTGAGAATAGCTGTTCACATTTTTGGGCTGCTACGTGGGACTTCCCCATATTAAGCATGAATGAGGTGGTCATGGATGATAGAATGATAGGGCAGGGCAGGCAAGAAGGGAGCATGGTTGACTGTTACATAGAAAGTTAGGAGGCAGTAGAACAAAGAATCATCTCCTCACCAGAGGGCCACCCCCAGACGGTTAAAAGCCAGAGTGTGGGAGGATTTTACTCCTGCTACAATGGAAGACTGAGGACAGAACAAGCGTCTTCAGTGTGGCTGCTTTCTTATCACGACCCTCCCTCATGCTCATCTCCTGAGACTGGGGCTGGGCATTGGCCAAATACTTTCACGTTCATTATCTCCCTTGGGACTCGCACCTGCCCCGTGATCAAAGGAATGCTGCTCCATAACCCCCGATGCACAGAAGAGAGCGCCGACATTAGGGAGGCGAACAGGTTAAATGGCAAGGACATGAAGCCAGTTAATGCAGGATGAGGACCCCACACCTTCCCACTTCCAGACCCATGCTTTCCCAACAACACCCAACTATTTTTAGTTCCGGCAGCAACAGATCTGGTGGCTTGAAGTCTTTATCAAGAACATTCTGGAATTCCCTTCTGAGTCCCCCAGTGGGTGCACTTATCAGCAGATAAACATCAGGGCTGCCCACTCCCTTCAGCACTTGTCGGGCCTGTCCACAGCATCCGAAGATCCAGCAAGGGTGT